AGATTTACCGGAATGGTACCAGGAATGAGGGACTTCAGTTATCAGGAGAGGCGAGAGAAGCTAGGATTATTCTCCTTGGAGCAGAGAAGGTTAAGTGGAGACTTAATAGAAGTTTTCAAAATTATGAGGGGATTCGATAGGGTGAACAAGGAGAAACTATTTCCACTGGCGGGAGGGTAGGTAACCCGAGGACACCGATTTTTAAAAAAAAAAAAGTTGTTAAAAGAAACAGAGAAGGTGAGGAGAAATTTTTTCACACAGCGAGTTGTTCGAATCTGGAATGCATTGTCTGAAAGGGTGGTGGAAACCAATTTGATAACAACTTTTAATAGATAAGTAGATAATTATTTTGGGAGGACAAGTTTGCGGGCTATGGGGAGAGAGCAGGGGAGTGGGATTGATTTGGATAGCTCTTTCCAAAGAGCCGGCACAGACAACGATGGGTCGAGTGTGTGTGTGTGTGTGTATATATATATATATATATGTGTTTATTTGTATACAGTTGTATCCTATTCTAATGGGATGACTTGAGTTCAGATAATCTGACCTCGCATTATCATGGGTTTAATTTTAAAATGGTTACCAGTCAGCATTTCCTAGATGACACGTTGCTGCTAACTTCACTTTCCACGCCCGGTGTACGCACAACTGCACACAACGTGCAGGATCCAGTCGACCATTCTCACAAGCATTTCCAATGGTCACTGGGACACTTGAAGAAGAATATTTAACATAACATAACATGTAGGAGCAGGAGTAGGCCATTCAGCCCTTCGAGCCTGCCCCGCCATTCAATCATGGCTGATCTTCTAATCTAACTCCAGCTAATAACCTAACCCTGCCTTATCCCCATATCCCTTTTACAATAAGAAATCTATCTATCTTAGTCTTGAATATGTTCAAGGACTCAGAGTCAACAGCCCTTTGGGCTAGTGAGTTCCATACATTCACCATCCTTTGAGTGAAGAAGTTCTTCCTCAACTCAGTGCGAAAGGGCTGGCCTCTGATTTTAAGGTTGTGACCCCTGGTTTTAGTTTCTCCAACCAGGGGAAACCATCTCCCACTATCTACTCTATCATGGTTTATAAGTTTCTATAAGATCCCCTCTAATTCTTCTATATTCTAAAGAATATAGGCCCAAATTGGTCAGACTATCCTCGTAACTCATCCCCTTCATCCCTGGTACTAACTTAGTAAATTTACGCTGCACCCCCTCCAAGGCAAGTACATCCTTCCTTAAATAAGGAGACCAAAACTGCACACTGTATTCCAGGTGTGGTCTCACCAGGGCCCTATACAGTTGCAGCAAGACTTCCCTACTCTTATACTCTAATCCTTTCATAATAAATGCTAACATACCGTTCCCCTTCCTAATTGCTGCTGCACCTGCAGACTAACTTTCTGTGATTGGTGTACAAGGACACCCAAGTCCCTCTGGACGCTAACACATTCCAATCTCTCCCCTTCTAAAAAATAACCCGCTCTACTGTTTTTGCTACCAAGGTGGATGACTTCGCACTTCCCTACATTATACTTAATCTGCCACCTACCTGACCAATCACCTAACCTATCTTTGTCTCGCTGCATTTTTTTAATGTCATCCTCATTCTCTTACTAGTTTTGAGTCATCCGCAAATTTAGATATATTAATTTCGATGTCCTCATCTAGATCGTTGATGTAGATGGTAAATAGCTGAGGCGCAAGGACGGATCCTTGTGGCACTCCACTAGTCACATCCTGCCAATCTGAAAAGGACCCGTTTATCCCTACTCTTTGTTTCCTACCCGTTAACCATTCCCTGATCCACGTTAATATGCTCCCCCCAATTCCGTGGGCCCCTATCTTTTGGACTAACCTTTTATGCGGCACCTTATCGAATGCCTTCTGGAAGTCCAAATAGACCACATCCACTGATTCACCCTTATCTAGTTTACTCGATAAAGGCATAAGAAGCAAGCAGCTGAATAGGATTAGGTAAAGTGACTTGTGTGTGTGTAAAAAAATTAAAAAAACACCACTCTTGATGGGCTAAATGATCTTTTCTGTGCCTTCTATGAATCTGATTATATAAGAGATTGTAATAGTATAGTAACAGTAAGGTTTAAAACTCCTCAGTTTTCTTCACTGAATGATCTGGTAAACATTTGAAAATAATAATAAAATTAATTAATAATCCTTCCAGTTGTGATAGCGTCTTATCTTATCGTCAAGATGTCTCAAATGGTTTTGCAGGATATACTGTAAAGTGTAATGACTGAATGTGTAGGTGTCAGATGTAGGTGAAAAAATTCTTAAGCTGAATGTTTTTTTTCAGTAAAGCTGCAGTTACATCCTTCTGCTTCTCCCAGGATGTGCAGAAAATATTGGTTTGAATGTTGGGGAAATCACCATCATCGGTGATTCTCTTAAATTAAACGGAACAAGTGCCTGGATAGTAGTGAGGGACATTTCGTTACACATGTGTTGTGTCACAGAACTATAGGACATAGGCTTTGAAACTGTTTTCCAGCACGGCAGGTTCCCAGGCTTAGCTGATCAGAGAGATGCTGATAGGAACCTTGCTGCTCCTCCCCAGGGAGGAATGAAAAGTCAGTGTGCAAGTTCCTTTCCCATAACTATCTGTTTTCAGAGCAGCATTGGCAGTGACCTGTGAGTAAATCACCACCCAACCTCTGGCACTGAATAATAATAATATTCCTTGCATTTGATATAATACCTTATCACGTCTTTGAGACTTCTCAAGGGCTTCACAGAATATACTGTAAAGTGTAGTGACTGTATATTTTTGTGGATGACATGATGTATGTACCAAGGACCTACCCTTTAGAGAAACTATATTTTTAAAATCTGCAGCATAAAAAAACTTTCCATTTTAAATTTCATGAACGTAACATTAGCTAGATATTTTTTGTGATCCTAAATCCTTTATTGCACGCAGTTCTGTAGTGAGCAAGAGCATAAATTATAGGAGCATGCATCCTTTAAGGTTTGTCAAATAGCAATTCAATCTTACATCTTTGATCCCTATGACATTTTGATAATAAAAAGGAGGTTTTGTTTTTTTAAAAAAAGAAATGCAGCACATTAGTACATAATCAACTTAAACAGTGCACGTTGCACGCAGTAGGACAAGAATTAGTTCACATACATCAAACTGAAATATAACATATCTATTTAATTTCTAATCTGCATCGCCAACAAACTGATAGGAAAAGGAAGAAAAACGAGAGAAAGGCTGAGCTCAGGATAAATGTTTATATTAACGTTGCAATCCGTTGAAGATAGAACCATAGAATATATGACACAGTGGGAGGTCATTTGGCCTATTTAATTCATGACTGTGTTTGCTTCTCCAAAAAAGCATCCAAAGTACAAAGTCAATCCACTTTACAATATATTCTGTGAGGCACTCAGGGACGCTACCCTGCGTGAGGGGCGCTATATAAATGCTTGTTGTTGTTGTTGAAGCGCTTTGAGAAGTCTCAGGTGATAAAGCTAATAAGTGCAAGGATTATTATTATCCTAATCCCAATTGCGTTCTCTTTCCTATATTATTTAAGTCCCTTTCTCAGCATTGGCTTGCCCAATTTTTAAATGCTCCAAATCAAATCTGCTCTGACAGCCATCTATGGTAAATCATTCCATATCCTGACAATCTTCTGGGAAAAGGCATTCTTCCAATCTTCCCCTTTTACTCTCCTAGTCATAATCTTAAATTCATGCCTTCTTGTCATCAATTTCCCTGGTTGTAGAAAGATTTTTTTTACGATTAATTCTCTCAAACCCTTTCATTATTTTAAACACTTCTTTCATACCACACCTCAACCTTCTCTGCTCCAACAGGAAGAGTCCTAACCTCACTCAGCTCTCTTCATAGCTGTACCGTGATTGCCATATCAAAATACCTGTAGCGAACTTTGGAATTGCTAATAAAACTGCTGCCATTATGATGAGTATGTGAAATGAATATTGATCATCTTTGCAAGGCATTCTGACCTGGAACTGACCAATACTGGCCAGGAGTGCTGTAGCTCAGTAGTAAGAGCACTCACCTCACAAGCGAGACACCTGGGTTCAATTCCCGGCAGGGCGAAACCTTGGGCAAGTTTCCTTACTCCACACACCTGATAATAATCCCTCAAGAAAAAAAATGCAATACTAATTTGGTCACTCAATCCACGACTGTTTGTGGGACACTGCTGTGTGCAATTAACTGCAGCGTTTCGCCCACAAAATATACAGTCAATTCACTTTACAGTATACTCTGTGAAGAGCTGTGAGATGTCTAGAAGATGTGAAAAGCGCAATATCAAATGCAAGGTTATTATTATTTATAATGGAGCTGTGGTTACACATTCCCATCTTCTTGGAACTTGACCCTCATTTTCCTGGGTGGACATTGAATTGACTTGGCAGACTCACCGTTGCATCTGGTCCTGCGCTAGAGCCAATGTAACAGGGAGCCTCAGTGAAACTAGCCATTAGAATAGATATGGCACTGAATAAATCATAAACTTATTTAATTGTAAAAAAAAGGTGCTTGTTGTCTCCCTTGGGAATAATCAACCTCTTTATTTTTTGTTGCTAAATTTCACAGGGGCAGCCCTGTTAGCTTATTTTTTAAAAAAATCATAGCTGTCATCGGTGTTTATATTCGTAAGGACTGATGAGTATACTGTGTGTGTAGATATGAGCTGGAATTGTTTGATCAAAATGACGGTATCAACTGATGAGGGTCTCTTTGGTACTGTGACATTGATTGAATTATGCTCGACCGGAAAAATGACTTCTTGCTTTAATTCACCACCACATGAAACTAGACTTCTTTTCCTCTGACTCCTGGCTGTGAGTTTGAAACTAGTCCTGTGCTCCAAGGACACTATTGATCAAACCTAGTTCCTCATGCTCCTTTCCTTAATCTAGAGGAGAGTCTGATACTTTAAGATTGACAGCCAGAGTGTCAGCACTAATTTATGGATGTGGATTTTTATGTTTTCAGATTCACATCATAGATTTTGATGATGAAAATAACATTATTAACAAGAACGTCCTTCTGCATCAAGCAGGAGAAATCTGGCACATCAGTACCAGCCCTGCAGATAAAGGGGTCCTGACAACTTGCTACAATAAAAGTAAGTGCAGTGGTTTGCTTTATTAAAAGGACTATTGATCCTTTAGTCAATGCAGGCTAGCATTTAAAACACATAGAATTTAATTTGTACAGCAATTTAGAAATGGACACTTTCAGCATCTTGTGCCACTGCTATTTTTTGTTAGAGAGTATTGTTTCCTCTCTTCAGCTCTTTCCCCTTAATGTTTTTATTCCTCAGTTGCTTATCTTGTTCCTGTTTAAACAATTCTATTGATTCAGCCTCATTAGCCATTTTTGTTAATGAATTCGACAACCTAACAACCCTCAGAATGAAGAAATTGCTTCTACCTTCTCCCCTGAATGTCTGCTAGTAATCCTACATTTTATAAAAAAAGCAATATACTTTGTAAAGTTAAAACTGGAAACTTCATGCAGTTCATTTTCAATTTCATAAGCGATTATGCCATTCCAAATTAACCATTAAAGGTTATTTTACTGTACTGTTGGCTGGTACATTTACAAAGAGTTTTGAGTGCAAATGTGTACCAATAAGATTAATATTTGCAATGCTTTTTCAGAAAATGATCACTGTCAGATGTAGGGGTAATACTCACCGCATTGCATTTGTCTCTTGTGTTGTGTTAGAAATACAGAAGAAATTAAAACTGCATTTCTTCCAATAATTTAGCTGCTGTGCCAGAGAGATAAATTACAAGGTAATATAGTACTTGTAATGGTCTCATCTGCATCCTTAGTTGGAAGTTGTTACAATAGTGCACTCGCTGGGCTTGACACAACGTGGAGCAGAGGGGATGCTACATTAGTTGTAGTATTAATCAGTGACTTGGAAATGAGACAGCACTTCAGGTCCAATATTCATTGTGTAATTAGTTGTGATAAAATATAAAACTCTCCTAAGTCCAAATATAATAATAATACAAAAGAGCAGGGTTTTAGGACTGAACACTTTGGAGTTGTGAGATAAATCTTGGGGAGCATTATGTTTTGATTTGGTCAATCGGGTGTCATGATCGGAAACTGATCACCATACTTAAGAGTATCCAAACCAGACTAAGGATTCCGCATATGCACACCACCTACATATGGCAATTTTCCTGAATCTCTCCCTGGAGGAACCTGCCTTGCTTACCTAGTTCCAGAAAATATCAGGCACAGGTTGGAGAGAGCCAAAGTTTGGGACCCCAAAGTGTGTGTTGGGGTACTGCTGGAGTTAATTGAGCTATGACTGCTTAGTTTGCCATTAAGAACGTTGTTTGGCCAGCTTTCCACTGCTGGTCCAGCTGGGACCACCCAACCCCTTAGCGATTTGGCTTTCTAGGACTAAGCTCTTGTTGAAACTCTGTACTTCCAACTGGTGAAACTATCGCTCAGTGGGTGGTGGTTTGTGCCCCTGGGTTGTAGGCAGGAGGATGGGGACAATGCTCTCCTGCATTTCTTGCTGAGGTGTGTTGCCCACCAGGACACTCTCAGTTCCTGGCACCTGCTATCCATCTAGTAAAGGTTCAAACCTGAGGTGATTGATTCTCCTCTGCAGGGAAAACTGGAGCCGAGTGGGAAGAATCCCTGCCTCCAATGACCAAGATGTGACAATTAGCCAGGCTGGCTGGTCTGTCATCAACAGAGTCTTGGAGCAATGCACACTCATTTGGCTCAGCAACTTGATTACTGAGAATGCCGCAAAAGTTTGACCCAATTCCAGATATTCTGTTGCTAGGTATGTACCAGGAATGCCTTGCGAGCCTCTTGGTGTGCAGCACAACTCAGCATAAAACATGTGAGAGGATTACCACCATCCTCCCACTCACAGCTCAGAAACGCACCCTAGATATTGGGCAATGGTTCCAGTAGTTGGAAATGTGGAGCTTGAGCAGTATCTTCTTACCTCTTGCATAACATTCATCAACAACAACGATAATTTACATTTATATAGCACCTTTCACGCCAGGAAGATGTTCCAAGGTACTGGACAGTTGAGGGTTTGCACCCAAGCTGGGGCTTAGATTTTGAGGGGGTTGGGGGGGTGGTGGTGGAGGTGGGGGAAAGATGACTGAAGGCAAAGTGCATGGGGGTTGAAAGCCCGACTGAAAATGGTGGGGTGATCAGGATGAGAATGTGAAGCAGGCCAGTGCCTGCCGAACGGAGGGAACAAGTGGGTTGGGGCAAGACCATGAAGGGATTTAAAGGTAACTATGAGGATCTTGAACTCTGGGGGATGGGGAGCCAGTGGAGCCGGGCGTGGATGATAATGATAATACTCTTCGCATCAAACCGTGCTTGGTCAGAAGCTGCCTTTGTAGCAGCCCTAGCTTGTTCCAGGGATGTTTTTAGTGCAGCTTTAAAGGCATTCTACTTTCACTTAATAGCTCTCCTTCCAGTTACCTTGACAGGATTCTGACTTGTGGATGACTGGCGGACAGGCTGTAGCTTCAGTTTACTTTTGACCTCAGCTGCAAGATTGGCTACATCCTCTGTTATCAAATCCATGCTATTCCTCGCTTCATGGCTGTATGTAGGATATTGCTGTGTACAAGTTAGCTACTGTGTACAAGTTGGCTACTTACAAAATACCCTTTGGAGTATATCCTATGAAACACTTTGAGACATCCAGACACCTGTCACACAGACCTTTGTAGTTAGCAATATCTTTCATGTGGTTAGAGCACTCACCTCGCAAGCGATAGACCTTAGTTTGATTCCTATCAGGGCGAAACGTTGGGCAAGTTTCCTTACTCCACACGCTAGCAATAAGTAGGAACCCAGTTGTTGGTCGATTGGTGGATCGCTTTTCCGGGGGTAATAATTCCTTCAAAAATAATAATAATTGGTCACTCAATCCACGACTGTTTGTGGGACACTGCTGAGCGTAATTGGCTGCCGCGTTTCGTCCACAAAATATACAGTCAACTCACTTTACAGTATATTCTGTGAAGTGCTTTCAGACGTCTTGAAGACGTGATAAGGAGCTATATTAAATGCAAGGATTATTATTTTTATTACTTGGGCACAATTGCTTGAAGCATAAAGGAACATGGTCTACTCTGACCTGGCAGCCACCCTGTGTTACAGGATCAGCACCTTGGCCAAGGTGTTCAAGGGCTGCACTCATGACACACAAGCTAACCCGACCAGTGGTCTGAAATTTCTCACTGACACTTAACAAAGTATTTGAAGAGCAAGGGTGTACCGAGCTGCTCACAAATCACAAGATTGATTTGCTGTGCCACTTTAAACCTCTTGCTGATGCTGTGTAATTGGCGAACCTTGGAAAGAAGCAGAGAGTGCTGCTGTCAAAGGGAGTTGCTCCACCTTTGAAGTTCCTGTCCTGACATATTCCAATAATGAAGGATTAAGGAGAGATCAGTACAGGAGAAAATAAAACACATTTTTCTTTTTCTCTTTCCTTCTCTGCTTCTCCTCATTTTCTCTTTTCTTGCATTTCCTTATTTTCCCACTCCCTGCCTTTCCTTGTTTCTCTCTCCTTTTTTCTCCTCTGTCTTCCGCCCCCTTCTGTTTTAGTCAGTCGTCTGTGTCACTCTCTGTGTTCTATCTTTTTCCCCTCGGTTTCTCCTACTTTCCTTTCATCTCCTTTTGTTTATTGTCTGTGTGTCTTCCCTCCCTCTTTCTATGTATCTATCTGTCGATTTTCCCTCTCTGTGTCTGTTTTCCCTTTTTCTTTCTGTTGGTTTTTCATTCTTTTTTTAAATTCTCTTCCTCAGTTTTGCCCCATCTTAATTTTTTCTCGTATATCTATTTTTCTTGTGGCATATGTATCCTTTTTTTCTCTTATCTCTCTTTCACTCCCCTTTATTCTCACTTACTACCAATAATATTATTATGAATTAAAATAATAATTAAAAATAATAATTTGGTCACTCAATCCACGACTGTTTATGGGACACTGGTGTGCGCAATTGGCTGCTGCATTTTGCCCACAAAATATGCAGTCAATTCACTTTACAGTATATTCTGTGAAGCACTTTGAGATGTCTCAAACGCGTGATACGGCACTCTATCAACATGCATGCATTATTATTGTTTTGCTCTTTTTCTGTCCTTTTATTCCCAGTATGTCTGTTTTATCTCCCTGCGTTCAATTATTGCGTGTGTGCTTTCTGTCTGGTGCATTTGATGAAGTCCCTATTTGCTAATTTGGGATTGCCATAGCAACCGACTTGGTGAAATCATGTGTGTCTGTAGGTGTACCTGAAACTCTTTGGTGTTTCCTCACTTGGTTGTTTTGACCCAGACAAATTGGTTAGAAAGAAGATTTGCAGCAAAACTGGAAGAAAACACTCATTCACTTAAATCTGCTAAATGTCATGTCATCTCCTGTGCATCTTTACACGCGAGTAGGGAGTTACCATTGTAATTGCCATTGAACATCATTTGAAGAACATTTTGTTTTAATTATTTTTAAATATTTTTCATTCAGATTTTGTTTTTTTAATTTTGTTGGTACAAAGTGTTTATTCCAGCAGTAAGTACTGAAGGGGAAAGAAACATTATATTCTGCATTCATTACTTACAAGAATGTACAATAGTCACATGGGGCTGAAAATAAATATTCATGATTAAAATATCATGTTCTCAGGCACAAAGCTTCCAATCTTAAAACTGAAAAAGAAATGTTTAAAAATCATAAACACTAAGTTTGTTGCTGTTTATTTTATTTGCCATTCAACAGTGAACAGACATAGAAATGATATATTTGCATATCTTTATTTTCCCTCCTTTCACTTTCCTTCCTATTCTATTGTCGACTATGCTTATTTTCTATTTTTTAATCTCCATCTTCCATTTTTCTTTTGTTCATCTCTTCCAGGCTTATTCTAACTCTTTGTCTTTATTCCCTTATTCCTCTCTGTTCTCCTGTGGCGCAGTGTGCATTTTATCCCTGTAGCAGAATGGAGCCTTGCTCCTCAGCGCTATTGATTTTCTTTGCTGCTATTAATGATCAGGCGGGCTTTCTTACCTTTTCAGTATCCACTGCAAGTCTAACTCACTGGGGACTTCATGAAATACAACCCAAACAACTGAAGGGAGAGCTATTATAATGGGTAGTAGGAATTCAGGGGCCAGTCAGAAAATTGATTCTTGGTAAATAAGGAATCCTAGTAGCCAGGTTAACATAAATATTTAATTGTACATTTATACATGTGTGTGTGTGCTCACTCAAAACAATCAATTAAATTTTAAAAAATCGAATTCCCAGTTTAAAAGGAAAGTGGAACATTGTACCCTCTGAATAGCTGATGAAATGAACTGTTGACTGTGGTTTACGACTGAATTAAAAGGTTTAAAATGCGTATTGTTCTCAATAACTGTATCTGGATTTTTAAAATGACACGAGCATTGTGAAAATTGTGAAAAGGGCTAAGTGTTTCAGGGTCACCATACCATGATCATATCTCCCACTAAATGCAGTCAATCCACTTTACAGAATATTCTGTGAAGCGCTTTGAGACATCTCAACGACATGCTAAGGCGCTATATCGAATGCAAGGATTATTATTGTTTACTATTATAAAGGAACAAGACACAAACGTGCACCTTCAGATTCTGTCATTGTCTTTCTCTGCCTGTGCACTGCTCACTTATTACAAATAGTAAAAATGCAGCAATAACTACTGCGGATGATGGGAGTTCAGGCACTAATTAATGGTACATAAATATGTGCAGTGTGTATCAAAACATTAATTTTTAACAAAATATTTGAAAATATTAAATCTTAATTGAAATACTTATCATGTCTGTTCCTGGACCAAAGTTTTTTTTAATTGCATTTAAAATTTCACGTTTAGTTTTTTAATTATCAAATTAATAAACTGGGGATCTAGAGTTTGTTAAAATCAAAATGATGGAAATACAGTTTTCACAAATGTGCAATATCAAAATCCTTCAGCTACTTGCAAATTTATACTGCATTTAGATGTTTCTATCCTGTGTCCAGGTGGCCTGATATTTATGACTGCTTTTGTGGTTTGCCCTTTTTCCTCCACTCCCAGCAAATAAGCCAGTTTGTACAATGATTGATTTTCTTCACAGCTTTGCAGCCCTTTACACTATGCACCATTTCCCACCCAAACAAATGGAACAGTTTAAAACCCCAGTCAGTGCTGCTCTCAAGGTACCTGCACAGAGCACAAAACTACCAATTATTTATTTTCACTGGTGGCCCACACGAGATTGTTGAACTCACCTGAACAGAAAATCACAAAAGTGAGCCTATGTTGGTGGCAGAGACAGAAAGCGCCGAGTAGGATTTACATCCAGTCCAGTAAATCTGCTTTGCATATCTGGTATTGGTTCTGAATGACATGATTTTGCTGAAGAACCTGTATCAACAAAATAAATTTTTAAAAATGCAATGACAAATAATCAGAAATACAGTTGAAATATTTTAATGACTATTTTTTTAAAAAAAATGAAAGGATGGAATTCCCTTGGAAGAACTGGGTTTCTGATGAAACCTGCTTCCTCCCCTGCCCGCCACCCTCCGGACCCCCAGCTCAGGTCCGAAACTCTGTCCAGTGCCTTGGAACGTCCTCCCGACGTGAAAGGCGCTTTACAAATGTAATTTTGTTGTTGCTGTTGTTGAAACTAATTGGTCCGGTCCCTCTGCTAAAGTAAATGTTTGCAAGAAACAAACATGCATTTAAACTATTAACAGAAAATAATCTTTTGGCATCGCAAATGTAAAATGTGAGGTGGAACAATAATAATAATAATCCTTAGATTTGATATAGCACCTTATCACGTCATTGAGAAGTTGCAACATGGCAGCCAGTTGCGCACAGCAATATCCAACAAACAGTCGAGGATTCAGTGACCACATTTTTTTTGGAGGAATTACTACCCCCGGAAAGCCACCCGCCAATCAGCTGACAACCAGGCTTTCTCACTTACTGCTAGGTAAACACAGGCGTGTTCATAACAAACTCGAAATGCGAAGACTGTGATTTTTAGGCTTTCAGTGAGCCTCACAGTTATTGCAGAGCTCTTATAAAAGCACTGAAAGAGGTGACTAGGGCATAAAATATTAAATTTGTTTAGCAAATTAGGGTTGTGTTCAGAAGCCACTGTCAGGGATTTGCAGCATTTGACGTCTGCAGTCCTCGGCATGAAACCTGCAGTATCCTCTCGTATTGATTAGCTTGTTAATTTCAAATCCATTTTTATAAATTCAATAACAGGCTGTGATCTCTATATTCTCAGACTGATTTTAATGGGAAGGTAGCAGATAGTAGCATTCTCATTATTTTAATGAAGGATGAAATGTAGTACAGTATTTTACAAATTATTATGCAAGTAGATAAATTTCACCATTTTCCATTAAACTAGCAATTTAAGATAACATTGGTCTGGTTTTACATTGTGTGAAATATAATGAGTTAATAACCTTTGTACACATTATTCCCACATCAAGGGAATTAAATCATACTGAGAAAAACACCTAAAACAGAAATTGAAATGCGAGAATCACATAAGCCATATATTATTTAAAAAGTATCAAGCATCTGGCAGTCAGATAAAATCTGTAATCAGGGTCCAGATGAGAGTTATAAGCTGCCAAGTTCTCCTCACACAGTTAGACGCCACCTGAATCCCAAGATTAGATTACAGCAGTCACACCGCCACACAACATGGAACCCCTGAGTTCAGACCAAACCAGACTTATTCATCAAAGTGCTCCAGGTGGGAGAAATATTCAACTTACTGGTTACATTGGCAATAATTGCCTTTTTTTCCCCCAAATTCTTTTGTTAACCTTTCTATCGAAACTCCGTACCCCCATCACACCAGTCCTTACCAGGCTCCACTGGCTCCCAATTGCCTAACAGATGGATTTCAAGATCCTCTCACTTGTTTTCAATCGCTTCATGCTCTAGCACCTCCCTACCTATCCGACCTGTTTACCCCCTACTCCACCTCCATTCGCTGGCTCCAGCCTCCTATTTGTCCCTCGTGCCCTCCATTCCACCATCAGTGGCCATGCCTTCAGCCGTGACACCCTGAAACTCTCTCCCTCAATCCCCCACCTTCAAATCCCGCCTAAAGACCTTCCTTTTTGATTGTGCTTACAGTCACCACCCCGATATCTCCCGCTGGTTAATTGTCAGACTCTGGGTTGCTACCCCACGTGAAGGGCGCTGTATAATGCAAGTAGTAGGTGGTGGTGTTGTACTGGTATTAATTTCTTTTACTAAATAACTGCTTTTGCACAGGAAGGCCATTGCAGGAATCTCTCTGTAGCACGACTGGAATTAATCCACTTTCCAAAAGTTGAGAAAGATTTGTGGGGTGCGGCTGAGGAGGGAGGTATAGAGTGAAGGGCAATGAGATGCAGATGGAGCGGTAAAGAAGATATGAGCTGAGATGGTGAGGACCAAGAATAAAAATCATCAAAACACAATTGCCATGAAAAGTTTCCTGGTTCCAAAGTTTTACATTTGGGGGTATAGAACATAAGTAGGTAACGCTGAACTTGTATAAATCATATGTTAGTCCTCAGTTAAAATATTATATCCAGTATCGGTCACCCACCGTCAAGGTAATAGAGAGGATACAGAGGAGATTTACTAGGAAGATATCAAGAATGAGTGGTTTGGCCTAGGAACTAGGATGGAGTTCCAGAAAGGAGGAAGACTGGAGGGCTTTAAAGGTGAAGACAAGGATCTTGAATTTGATTCTCTAGGGGATGGGGAATCAGTGAAGCTGGGCTAGAATGAATATTTTCTACTCAAGTATTTATCTGTCTACTTATACTTTAAACAATTCCATTGATACCGCTTCTTTAGTTTCCTACCTTCCGCATGAAGAAATCTTTCCTGAATTCAGTTCCAAATGTTTCCACTCCCGGTTCAGGAGCGCTTCCAACATGTTGCTTCCAACATTTGTGAATGCCCTATGGGACATTTCACCCACAATGTACACAGTCAATCCACTTTACAATCTATTTTTGTGAAACGCTTTGAGACGTCTCTCAACGACATGATATCAGATGCAAGAATTATTATTATTATGATTATCTCTCAACGTGAAAGGCTCAATATAAATGTAAATTGAATTGTATTATGTTTGCCAAAAAAGGTCACTACACCTACATCTGTGACTTGCTTTAAGGTGTTTGACATGGAAAAGCACTATAAATATGCTCGTTCTCGTTTTCTTACCAAACTGTAGCATTGCCCACAGATACATTTCTTTCTCTCTGACTTGCACAGCACTGAGGATTGTCACTCCTTCCTCCCAGTATTGCTTCTGAAAATGGTGCCTTTGGTGCTGTCATGCTCTGGAAGTCATATTGCTTAATTTAAACATTTAATTATATTTAAACTTAATATAGAGACTCTAATGACCGTGGAATTACAGATTTGTGCTCAAGTGCAGAATTAAGCAGGTAGCACTAATCGTGATTATAAAATGGAGCACTACATGTTCCTGATTTAAGTTCATTAGTTGTTCTTATGCCTATAAGTTACACATGTGCAAACTGCTTGTTTTTTTATATAACTGGGTTCTGGTATCTCAAATTCCAGATGGGCTCGTTGTTTGTGTCTAGGAATGCAATGCAGAAAATATGTTTGTGCATTTATTAAAAGATTTGTTGACAGTCGATTTTGCTGCTTAGCTTCAGACAGCAAAGTCCTGACGTGTGCAGCTGTGTGGTGTATGCCTAAGGAATTGGAATCAGGCAGTCATGAATCTCCCGATGATTCATCAAGTAACCCTCAGACCCTCGAGCTGCTTTGTCACCTTGACAACACAACCCATGGCAACGTGGCCTGGTAGGTCTCCTGGTATTGATTTAAAAGATTTTAAATCCATCCTCCAAGAGTGGAACTATCCTGAATGTTTGTACCTTTTCACTGTAAAATCTCAACAATACATCTGAATAAATTCCATGGGATAAACGAGAAATATAAAATTACTGCATGAAAAATAACTACTAATTTATGTATCTCGTAACACCACTAAGTCAAAACTTCTTATTGCTAACCACTTCCAAGTAATTAAATATCTGTTTTCTACTTTGTTTAGCAAGTTAATAATTCATGATTTATTCTGTTGTGTGGTTAAGATAATTGTTACTGAGGAATATTCACATCCAGATATAAACCAAGACAGAAATGCTTTTAGACCTCGTCAACCGTACCTCACAACCAAAGCAGCCGAAACCCTCGTCCACACCTTTGTAGTGACAAAGGCGTAGACAAGAGTTTCGGCTGGACTATTCCGTTGCCCTCCTCGGTGGTCTCCCAGCTCTACCATACACAAAATTCAAGTAATTCAGAACTCCACCGCACAGATTTTCACCCACATAAAACTCTGTACCCCCATCACGCCAGTCCTTGTCAGAGTGCTGTGGCCCCCAATTACGGAACGGATCGATTTCAAGATCCTTTCACTCGTTTTCAAATCCCTTCGTGCACTCTCACCTATCCAAATTGTTTAACCCCCACTCCAACACCCACTGCCTCCGCTTGGCTGACTCCGGCCTCCTTTTTGCCCCTCGACCCCTCTGTTCCACCATTGGTGGTCATTCCTTCAGCCACTATGCCCCGAAACTCTGGAATTCTCTCCCTAAACCCCTCCGTACTGATGATGAGATGAGAATTCTGGGACAGTTTGAATTGTTAAATATGAGTAATTACTTTACTCATATATCAAGATGATGGGATGATAATCCCCTCTGAATTTGGCCTCTTCTGATTTGGAATGATCAATGCTTCAATCATTGCATTCCTCTGAAATATTAGCGCAAGAAATGTAACCCACTGTGTTGTGAATTGGGGACATGACCCCATGTTCTACTTTATGTCACAGCAGTACATTCTTTCAATACTTCATGCTGCTCTGAGTATATGATGCTTCCATGAAGAATTTACCATTTGTAGAATGGAGATATAGCACTTATTTGTTAATAGTTTTCATTTATTGGGATGCTAATTTATTTTGCATTACAGTTTTAGAAAATGGAAATGATTATATTGCTTAACGGTACTTACACATGCAATTTGGGGATTCTCGTATCATCGTAATTAATTTTGTTCAACAGTGTATTATGGGAGCCAATGGGAGATGGTAAAAAGATCGCCTCACTGGCTGATAATCATGTTCTTCTGTGGGATTTACAAGAAAGTTCAACAAAGGCAGTGGTAAGAAATTTTAAGTTATAAAATACCTTTAATTTTAATTGCCCTTAAAGTTCAAAAATACTCTTTAATCTGGTTGTAAAAAAGGAATTATCTAATAACTGGGATAGTGTTATCTCCGAAATTCAGTATTATTGCAGGCAAAACCCCCTCTGTTCCATTTAGGGATAAAATCATTTTTCTCCTCAACCCTATCACACTATCCTGCAAAGCTCTAGTTTCTGAATCTAGCTCCAGTTCCTAAGTTCATATATTTAAATATTCTTTTCCTAGCCCAAATATATAATTCTTACAAGATTTTCTCAATAGCTTCAAAAACCATCATTATGCCTTAATTCTTCTGGTATTAAGTATTAATTCTGTCAGCATTATTGTTTCTGAATCCAGAGCTTGAATGAATTTAGCAAAAATATTAGTAGATTTATCATGAACGAGTTAGATATCAGGTACTAAAGATTTTTCATTATCCTGACAACATCTTAGCAGTGAAACTTGGGATGAGTTAGACCAACTCATCTATATTTCCAACTGATGGTTTGCAATGAAAGAAGTGATGAGAAATACTTTGGGACTGATAAGGCAAATCAAAATGATTGAGTACCCATTTCTATAACATCTGATGGTTTCAACTTCCAGAAGCTAGAGGTTGCAGTACTAAAATTTCAGATGACTCTTGCACATGTCTGAGCATCTAACTGTTGTACTGTGAGGTTCTTGTGAAAATGTTCTCCCCTTCTGTTGTTTTTGAAGGCTGAAGGCATCAAAAATGTGTAGTTTGGCACATTAAATATTGTTATCATGTGGTCTAAGACCTGGCTCAGTTTCTCCTGGTGTCCTGGCCAACAATATCTGAGATGAAATTGATCATTCACTCCAAGGCTATTTGTGGGACATTTCAGAGGCAAAGTTGGCCACCATGTTCACCTACAGATGACATAGTCACTACACTTTACAATAAATCCTGTGAAGTGTATTGAGACATTCTCAGCCTGACATGAAAAATGCTGTATCAAATGCGAGGATTATTATTATTTTCTAAAGAGCTACTTCTGTGCTGGGCTGATAAGAACCATAATACATTGCATTTTCCTCAGTGCTAACCGGTTGTTAAATCTGTATGGTATGCTACAGGCATTAATGTTGAAAAGAATGTTATTTGCCTGTTAACCAGGCCTGTTTGTATCACATTTACACCACACTCCGAATCTACTTTGTAAACAGGATTTTGGTAGCTCTACTATACTTCCTTTTTGTTGAAATTGAGTAATAAAGTACCCTTATTTTTCTAATCTGTTTGTGCAAAATACTTTAGCTCTCATCTTCTGCAACATTAGAAGGAAAAGGTCAGTTGAAGTTTACCTCAGGACAGTGGAGTCCTCATCATAATTGCAGCCAAATTGCTACAGCTAATGACACAGCCATCCGAGGGTGGGACACTCGATCGATGAGGTGAGGAGAAAATGGCTCTTTATGCATTTCTGCCTACCCTCTGCTGCTTTGTATTAGAATGTTTAATCTGAAAATGTTTTACATTTTAAAATCTTAATTTACAATTCAGATAGTGAAATGGCCACCTCTGAAACTGACTTCAGCTTGTCTTTATGGACGGATGGTCTTTTAATGTAGGTTTGTTTACCATTAATATCTGTGGTATTGTGTTCAACGTTCCAATGATTCCTCTAAACAAGTCATATTTCTAATGAGAAGTCTTTAAAAGTGCCTTCACTGCACATAGGAATTGCAATATGCTGTATAATACCGTCGAGCCCTGCTATAATATCCATAAAATCCCAACCTATCATGAGGCACAATTTCAATGCACATGTGAATTGTGCGCAATTGGCTGCCATATTTCGGCCACAAAATATACTTTACAATATTTTCTGTGAAGCCTTTTGAGACGTCTCAATCATGTGATATGGCGCTACATCAGATACAAGGATTATTTTTAGCAATAGCTGCCCAGATTGCTTCTTGTGCCAGGGGCCATTACCTGTGCTAACAACAACAACGCCTGACTTTGGGTCACCAGCTTGCCAGCAACATCACTTCCTGCAAGCTGCGCATATGCAAAAGCAGGAAGCGATGTTGGCAGGAACCTGATGACGTGGAAGTTGGTCTTTTGGTTTAGTCATTGCTCATTTATGAGCAACATCCAAATAATCAGAACTCTATAGATGTAGGAAGTAATGTCATAATGACCCCAAAGGCAGTCATTTTAGCACAAGAGCAGGCCTGTTCCACACTGCAGCCACATTATAACCGAATTTGCACAATAAAGAAAAGCGTTATAACAGGGCTGCACTATATGTGGAAGCTCTCATATCATAATGATCCTAAAATGTAAGGTGCTATACAAACAGAAAAGCTGCGAGTCCATTACAGATTAAGTGGAATCACGAAGACAGAAATTGATAACTTTTTGGGTATGACTTTTATCACAGCTGAACCAGTGGGATAGAGAAACCCAATATTGAATATTACAGAACCCCAAAGGCCCATTGAGTCTATGAGGCAGAGAATTGAAGCGACAAGCTACGGGGATTATATTTACAAATAGAGTCGCAAAGGAATCTCCCAATCTGATTTTTCTTTCACCAATAAAATTAGGAGAAATCCCCCCACTCCTCCTCCTCCAAGTGTTAGTGTATTTGCGGAACAAATTCCCAATCAGACTAAAGAGAAGTTAGATCTTGGCATGCGGAATTAGTTGCCACAAATTAACTCTTTGATCCGCTGGAGGGGAGCGTGGAGCCAAAGGTGGTCCGCTGCTGGAGCGATGGGGACTCTCTCCCCCCCCCCCCCCCCCCCCCCGCCCCCATTTCCCCCCCCCCCACCCCCCCCCCCCCCCCCCCCCCCCCCCCCCCCCCCCCCCCCCCCCCCCCCCCCCCCCCCCCCCCCCCCCCCCCCCCCCCCCCCCCCCCCCATCGTGTCGGCCTTCAGCCTCTCAGCCCCTAGGCTCGGAACTCCCCAGTGCCTTCGCTGCCTCCTCTCAGGGTCCATTCTTGACGAGCCTCAGCTCGACTCTCTTCCTCGCTCCCCCCCCCCCCCCACCCCCCCCCCCCTCCCCCCCCCCCCCCCCCCCCCCCCCCCCCCCCCCCTCCCCTGACCCCCCTGCTCCTGCCCACGTGCAGCGCCTGGACGTCCCCACGTGAGGGCTTATAATTTTTGTTTTTTTTGTTGGAGGATTTGGTCTCTCACTCTGTATCTCTCTGTTCCTATTATTATTATTATTCCTCGTCTCCCTCCCTCCCTCCCCACTTCCCTCCCTCTTTGCACACCAAGAATAATTCAGTTTTGGGTTTTCCAAAGAATGATAGTCTCTCAATAGGTTTTTGAGTCATTTCATATTTTAATTTGCCATTTTAGAAAATGTAAAAACTCACGTGTTAGCAATAACGATGCTGAATTTTCTTGAAGCTTCTTTTAAAATCAAAAATGGCCTGTTTGCATTCCTTGGTGCTTTAAACTATGCCATAAAAATGTTTTTTTTCTTGGTTTGGATTTGATAAACTGAGGTGAGGTTTTATACACATCGTTGCCATGGCAACGGTTCTGTGCCGGCGTCTTAAGGAAAACGGTTTATTCTTTCATATACATTTTTCATTAATTCAACCAGGCAATCCTGCTTTATTTTCAGTTACAATTATATACAACAGAGTTTCTGGATTCTGGACCCAAATAAATTAAACTTGGTCAATAGTTTTGGGATGGCTTTAGAATGCCAGATTTGCCAAAAATATAGTCAAGATTCAAGGGCTGCTAAATATGATGGGGTAGACTTTCAGCTTGGAAACTTGGTCTCTTCTCCTCCACCTTGACCAAATAGCAGCAACAGGAACTTCTTCACATGGAGGGCAGTGAGAATGTGGAACTCACTACTGAAAGCTGTGATTGAAGCAAAAATGAACAATGTATTTAAGAAAAAACTTGATGCATACATGAAGCAGAAGGGGATAATAATAATAATCCTTGCATTTGATATAGCGCTTTTCACATCTTCTAGACATCTCAAGTGCTTCACAGCATATACTGTAAAGTAAATTGACTGTATATTCGTGGGTGAATTCGTGGGTGACACAGCAGTGTCCCACAGACAGTCATGGATTGAGTGACCACATTATTGTTTTTTTTCTTGAGGGTTTATTATCAGGCATGTGGAGTAAGGAAACTTGCCCAAGGAGTCACCCTGCCGGGAATCAAAACCAGGTCTCTCGCTTGCGAGGCGAGCGCCCTAACCACTGAGCTACAGAACTCTACAGGGATAGAGTATAGGTGAGGGGATTGTATGGAACATAAACACTCGCATGGACTAGTTGGGCCAAATTGCCTGTTTCTGCCCCATATCACTCTTATATCGTACTAAGCCATAACAGAGCAGAAGTCACGGGTTCAAATCCTGGTCTGGGCTGAGGTAGCTGGTCAGGCAGAGACAGCATATAGGAAGTTACAATTGGCTTTAGTAGACCCCGGTCAAGGGATGGCAAAAACTTGTAAGGATTTCCTCTCCTGATTGGTATTCAGTAACTTTTGCTAACACTCACTGGTTATGAAAAACGGTCACTTTTGGACAACTGTATTTCTGAAAGATTCAGCACCTTAAGGACAGGATGAGAGATGAAATATAAAAAAAAACTCCTACCCATTTCCTGAATTTTTGCAGGTTGTTGATATCCTAAAAAATAATGTATGCGTACTGACCTTTTGTCTAATATGGTGTCATATTCTGGGTCAAACATTGAACTTTGGACAAGAAGGTTAGTGATGTAGAAATGTTCTTAACTCTGTAACCCCAAACCCTGATAGGCCAGTCCAAGCTGAATTGACAGCAATACTACTGCTACTACTACTAATAATTATAATTATAATAATAATAACAAAAATCATCATGATCCTTGCATTTGGGAGGACATCCCAAAGCGCTTGATAGGATTTGTTGTGAGGTGGAATGACAGAAATTATAGGCGAATGAGGCAGCCCAATTGCGGACAAACAGCCATGAAACAATGATCAATTTTATTTGGGAAATTGTTGGCCAGGATACCAGGAGAAACTCCCTTCTTATTTTGAATATTTACCCAAAGAGGCAAATGGGACCTCAGTTTAACATCTCATCTGAAGGATGCCACCTTTGATAATGAAACAAACTCCCAGCGCTGAATAGGAGAGACTGTATGAGTCCTGATGTGGGGCTTCAACCCACAACCTTCTGATTCAGAGGCGAGAATGCTGCGAGGATGCAGGGTTAGTCAACCAGCCTTCTAGTTAGCCTTGTGTATGCATCAATCACAACTCCACAAAACTGCAAACTCTGTTAGCAGAACAATGATTCTGTCAACTCTTCCTTTTAAGATTGCCTCAGTCCATTCCCTAAGCCTTAATGTTAATAAGGCGAATGAAATCAGACAGCTGCCTGTGACTCCCATCTGTAGCACATACAGAAGTTTGAAATGATAAAATCTGATGTAAAATCTAGTCCCTAGCCAAAATCCAATCTGGATCAACAAAAGAAACATTTGAAATAACTGCCTTGAATGAAAGTCTATTTCACAGTTATATACAAAAAAACATAATTTGAAAAGCTATACATTGAAATAGCTGCCAGTTAGGTTAGTAATACAATAGATGGGCAAATAAGTATTTTCCCTCCAACAGATTGCCTTCCCCCATTCCCCATGTGAGGAGGACGCGATGTTCTGTTCATAATATTCTGGACTCCTAGGAACACCTGGCTTCAATTAATACTCCATCTAGTGACCGGGAAGGCCACTACTGCGATAACTGAACCATGGGAGCTTGAGTGAGTTGGGGGGTGGTGAAATGTTGTGTTTTTCTCAGCCAGACTCATCCTGGAGGACACAGATCCATTTTTGATTGACCAATCAATCAGATTTTTTTCTGGGTGAATTTGCATGAGGGAAAGATAGGATGTGCAGCGAGTGAAGGCAAATCCGGAGTTCTAATATTAATTATAAATGACCTAAAGTAGATAGAAAAATCAAAATGCCAAGCAGGGAACAATCCATCTTACAAAAATCCCATATGCCTGTAGCACTTTAGAAGGTATGAGGTAAAGGAAAATAGCCCTATGCATGTGTACTCCATAAAATGCTAGGTCGTTCATTCCTAAATTCAGTATTTTCCGATATTTAATCAAGCAGCATGGGTCTCAACATTGACATCTCTAGAAATCGGGGACAGAATGAAGCTTTGCATAAGGCAATGAAAGTCTCCTTTGCAGTAACACTTGCTGAGGAAACACAGGGGTTGAATATGCAGGGGAACATAAAAGGATTTGTAATCTAGAATACTGAATGTATTTGAATGTCTTGCACGGATGAGATGAATGGCTCCTCCTTATGATTTACCCAAATCTACTTGGACACAGATCTCGTGTGGGCCAAAATTGGACCCCTCTGGATTTGTGCAGGATTCGATATTTACCAATTCCTGTGGCTCTGTGCCCAGAGTTAATTTGCACAATGTGGGTATGAATTCCTGTAGAAAACTATGTCTAATTTGGACCAGTTCTATCGTTAATTTTAAACTGACTGACCAGTCTGAGAATATGGTAAAGAAGACCGTTGTAATGCTTTTAATTTTGACTCGTGAATATCATACCAAAAATAATCAGAAACTGGTTTGGTTATATTAGGAAAGCACTTCAGAGTTCCTATTGATGGTTCCTTTTAATTTACAAAATAGCTGTCATTAGTAGAATAATTTAATTATGATATACAACACACAAATTCAGAGATAACATTCTGATATGTGCCGTAAATGTTTTAACATTGCTATAAAAATCAACATTTCATAGAGTCCTATAGCTTAGTGGTTGGAGAATTTGCCTCACAAGCGAGAGGACCTGGGTTCGATTCCCGAGCAGGGTGAAATGTTGGGCAAGTTTCCTTACTCCACACACCTCTGTTTATCTAGCAGTAAGTAGGAACCCGGTTGTTAGTCGATTGGTGGATCGCTTTTCCGGGGGTAATAATCTTGAAAAAAAAATTAGGTCACTCAATCCACGACTGTTTGTGGGACACTGCTGTGCACGATTGGCTGCTGAATTTTCCCACAAAATATACAGTCAATTCACTTTACAGTATACTCTGTGAAGGGCTTTGAGACGGCTCTATATCAAGTGCAAGGATTATAATTATTAAATGGACTCAGTGATAAGGAGCTATATCAAATGCAAGGATTATTATAATTATTATTATTAAGTGCCAAGTTAATTTATTTAACATTTCCTTATATCTATAGCACTTTGGAAATAATGTAGTAGGTGAAGTTAAACACCTCCAGTGTGGAAAAATTAATCATTGCTACCCTGTCCTTGTGTGCAGTGTACTGTGGTGTACTAAACACCAAAAACTGATGTGCACTCACACGTAAAGCATATTGGCTATTTTTAATCAAGCAGCACGGGTTCTGGAGCTTACTACTGACCCTTATTGGTGTGTCTCCAAATAGACCACAGCATAATGGGGGTGAATAAAAGGTCAGAGCATTCTGTCAGAAATTGGCCTATTTTGCATCTTCATTATTCATCTTTCCAAATAAATTTTGTAGGTTTATGTAAGGACAGTTTCAGTGATGTTGACATTTCTCATTCAGATCTCCTATGTGATAATGGGAAGCAGTTTTCAACATTACAAATAGAGATTGTTATTCTGCTATTTTCATTATTCCAATTACAATAAACTCCTGATAACAAGACCCTAGTTTAATAATAATAATAATCCTTGCATTTGATATAGCACCTTATCACGTCATCGAGACATCTCAAAGGCTTAACTTGTCACTGCGATTTAAGTAACTCAATTGCTGTCAATATCTTGGCTGTCTCCCATGCAAAATGTTAATAAGCTTTAATTGTCACTACGCTTAGTATGTAATTTTGCACATTGATTTGTGTTTATACAGGCAAATTTTCTGCATGGAAAATGCCCATGGCCAGCTGGTACGAGATCTTGACTTCAACCCCAACAAGCAATACTACCTAGCGAGCTGTGGAGATGACTGCAAGGTAAAGTTTTGGGACACCAGAAATGTTCATGAACCAGTCAAGACTTTGGAAGAACATTCTCACTGGTAAGATGACCCTTCCCCTTTCCTCACTCAGCAGGACAGGATAATAATTCTCTTACTCTATAAATTGCCTGGGCCTTGTGATGCTATCCTATTGAATGAAGTCTGAAGTGATTGGGATTTGAATTTGAATCAGCTGGCTGACAATGCAACACTCAAGTGCTGTAGCTTTCAAACTTTATCCATTACCATTTGTCTCTGTGTTTACAGGGGTTCTGAACTAACTTGGCATTGTAAGTCAGTGTTTTGATCACAATTCCATCAACAGCTTTTAGTTGTTTCTAAAAATAATTACGATGAGCCCCTTATCTTTTAGCAACCTTAGACACAAATTGTAACTTTAGATCATATACTGTATAATAAAATACCTGTATACAAATATTTAGTTATCTAGTTAAAGAGCTAAATTCTCCCTTACAAAATCAACTTTAGAATTAGCTTGCTCCACTAGCGCGTTTGATAAATACACAGCCCAGGATAGTACTGAAACTAAGAAGTTCCCAGGTTCAATCCAAGCCATACAAATATTTTGTTTGCTGAATGAGTTAACATATCTGGCTGCGGTGGTGTTTCAGAAGCTACAATTGACATGCATTAACCTGGACTAGTGAAAGGGTTAAACTCAGCCATGGTTCAATTCCTGATTATTATTCAATGACCACTGCTAGTAAATGCTTGTGTGTGCATCTTGGATTAGGACAAGATCAAACTTGACTGTGATGCCCTCCTTTGGTTGAAAGGCTACTGACACTATTGTCTAGGTTTATACCTGCAGTGAATATATATCTCGTGAGTGAGATATCAGTGTGTGATTGGAACCAGATTCTAGCAGAATTAATACCTTCCTTTACAAGAAGAGAAAAGTACAGATAAAATCACAGGAATCAAGTAGGATTATACAAAAAAAGTGCACCTGTTCAGATTTGCCATAAACTAGATAGAAAATAAATAGCAAAGTGGCATATTTGTATTTTATGTAATTTGTTAAAAGGATACTATCGCTTGTAAATTACAAAATGTGGAGTTAACCTGAAATTGATATACTTTTTTTAAAAAAAAACACACACTGGGAGGTTTATTTGACTGTTTAACCAGGTATTTGTGGTGATCCCTTACCTTAGATATTCACTAAATGGACAAGTTACTTAGGTGACGTATAACATGAGAATGATACCAGGAATGGGGAAGCTAAGCTATGAGGACAGGCTGGAAAAGTTAGGACTTTTCCCATTAGAGCAGAGAAGGTTACGCGGGGACCTGATAGAGGTCTTCAAGATCATGAAAGGTTTCGACAGGATAGATAGGGAAAAGCTGTTTCCACTGGTAGGTGTGTCTGTGACTCGTGGTCACAGTCTTAAGATATCTACCAAAAGAAGCAGAGGGGAGGTTAGAAGAAATGTTTTCACTCAGCGAGTTGTTCGAATTTGGAATGATCTGCCTGAAAGGGTTGTGAAGTCCGATTCGATAACAGCTTTTAAGAGAGAACTGGATAGGTATCTGGAGAAGACAGGTTTGCAGGGTTATGGGGAGAAAGCTGGTGAGTGGGGTTAATAAAAGTCAGTTGCTCTGTCAAAGAGCCGACACAGACTCGATGGGCCGAATGGCCTCCTTCTGTGCCGTAACAGAATGGCCTCCTTCTGTGCCGGTTGTACAGAGCAATTTTAGGATAGCTACATGGAAAAATGTTTTACACAAAGGGTAATTAACAGTTGGAGCAATAGTGGTAGAACCCAGTACGATTTTTTAAAAAAAGAAACAGTTTGATAATGTCATAAGATGTAAATAGTAGGGTGATTATTCTGGAAAGGTGGGATCCAGTGGACGAAAGTGCTTTCTCTCCGAACCTCTCTTGTGATCTTATGAAACAGTAGAATTATCTATCCCCAAGATTCCCAAAGGCAGGGAATTCCTGATACATAACTATCAAGATTTGTACATTTATCAGTAAGACGACTTTCTCACACTTGATCTGTAATCTCAGCTGGGTCATCGTGGAGGCAATCATTTAGGATTCTGCCTCTGGGAGGAAGAGAAAGTCAGAGGGTGCCTACATCATTCTGGTTTGCTTCCTAGCAACCAGTTGTACAATGGCTTGATGTAACTCTTGATTGATTGGGGGAATTAAGAAGGGAACCTGCTGATATTGATTTAAAAAAATGGTATTAAAGCCACAAGACAGTTACTGAACCCAATAATAATAATAATCCTTGCATTTAATATAGCTCCTTATCACGTCTTCGAAACGTCTCAAAGCACTTCACAGAATGTATTGTAAAGTGAATTGACTGTATATTTTGTGGGTGACAACTTTGTTTCGTAACTAACAGATCAAAGTACAAATCTGCATCCAAATGTACGGTAAAGCTCTTGAATCTTTTCTTCGCGGCAGAATTCACTGTTTTTTTAGAGAAAACTATTGCTTATTCTTTTTCTTCACAGGGTGTGGAGTGTCAGGTACAATCATTCACATGATCAGCTTGTGTTGACCGGCAGCAGTGACAGCAGAGTCATTCTCTCCAACATGGTATCTATCTCTTCTGAGCCCTTTGGGCACCTTGTGGATGATGATGAATTGAGTGACCAAGAGGACAACCATCATGAAGAAAAGTAAGAAACGTGTCTGGCAAATCTTTGTAACTTCTCAATTGCAACTGTCGATTTGTGAGAACAATCAAATCTGGACAAAACACACAGAATAGTGGACGAGAATGTGGAACTCACTGCAAAATTGTGGTTGAAGGAGAAAGGATCAGTGTATTTAAGAGGAAACCAGATGCATTAATGAGGTAGAAGTGATTGGAGGGTTATGTGAGGCAGGCTGAGGAAGGGGATTATGATGAGGGAAGCTTCAGGGCAGCTTCAAAATTTAAAATAGTTGTTAAAAGAAACAGAGGGGAGGTGAGGAGAAATGTTTTCACACAGCGAGTTGTTCGGATCTGGAATGGATTGCCTGAAAGGGTGGTGGAAGCTGATTCGATAACAACTTTTAAGAGAGAAGTAGGTAATTATTTGGGGAGGACAAGTTTGCAGTGCTATGGGGAGAGAGCGAGGAATGGGATTGATTTGGATAGCTCTTTTTAAAGAGCCGTTACAGACACGATGGTCCAAATGGCCTCCTTCTGTGATGTATAATTTTATGATTCTATGATGTGGAGCATAAACATCAAGATGGACTAGTTGGCTAGTTGGGCCAAATGGCCTGCTTCGATGTTGTGCAGTCTATACAATTCTATGTAACAGAGTTACAACCTTTTACAATGATATGTAAAGGAGAATTGTGCATCCAAGGCAGGAACTAAATATAGTCTTGAAGCTATGATTTCCATTTTCTAATGTTGAGTTCAGTTTTACAAGTTCAAAATCCTCCAAATGATCTTACAACATTATTGGAATCATAACTAAAAGAAATTAGGAAGAAATTTGTCAATTCACATTGGCACAGATGGCTTTATTTGTTTGTAATTGTAATCTGGTAACTCGAGAGTTGGAATAGAAGGGAATTTGCATTTGGTTTTTTACAAACAACGAGTGAATTTACACATAGTGGCACCATCTTTTCTAATCTGTAAAAATACTTTCAGTAAGTATTGGAATTCACAAACAAGTAATTAGACCACAAGAATAACTTAACAGTGCTGGATCCATTCGCTCACACCATATCAGGGTTACATATCTAAGACAGGAACTCATTATTAGACTGGTATTGTAATTGTTCATTGTTCTAGAAGGTGTCCATTTACATCTAGGATCTGATTTTGAATACAGCCCTGAATGACGGGTTCCTCTTTTAATCGGTTGTTAAGAAATAGGTAAAATGAATGCAGACAGCCTTCAATTTCCCATTTCTTAATGGATATGGGCCCCTAGCAAAAAAAAAAGGTTATTAATTGTAAGGTGTAAGGTCAATTGTTTGGGAAAATAGTTATCCTTATCACAATTGATAGTCTGAGAATAACTTTAGTTAAACCTAACTTGGAAACATTTGAACACTGGGAGGAAACATTTGTTGTTCAATGCACTGGATTTTTTGGAACGCAATTTCACTTCTCTTCCATTTAATTTTTAATTGATTGCAATGTTGCTTTTTAAACACCATGGGTTTCATGATCATGTAAGTTATGGATTCATATGATTGTGTATGATTACATATAAGTTCCATTATGTGCAAGTTGTAGCAGAAGATAAATATTTGTATTCCAATAGCTTTTTCAGCTTCTGTTTTCACATTTGACTAGACCCTGCTTTCACACAAACCGTTCCCCAAGCAATCAATGTCATCACAAATGAACAGGAGCCTTCATCTTACCGATTAATGTGGTCAATGCAGTCACAGACATGACAGAAACAGAACCTTTCCTTCTATTTTGGCAGGGCAATTAGCAATCATGTATCACCTTGAACCTTAGACTGCTCGCGGTTCTAGGCACCTTCAGATTGTTTTTTGTTGTTTCTGTTTTTACGTACACACACTATAAATGGAACACAGATATCAAATATATTTATCTAATGGACATATTCAACATCATAACTAATTTGGTCACTCAATCCACAACTGTTTGTGAGACACTGCTGTGTGCAATTGGCTACCATGTTTTGCCCACAAAATACGCAGTCAATTCATGCAGTATATTCTGTCTTAACAAAGTGATAAGGTGCTATATCAAATGCAAGGATTAAAAGCACCTATTTGAATTGGCCCCATAAGTAAATCTACTTTTAATGTGAATTGTCTCCTCGGCTGATTTTTGAAAGCTCATAGATAGTATCTATACCAGTCAAATTAAATAATGGGCACCTGAGAAAATGGATGGAGAAAAAATACCAAACAATTTTAAATATTACATTACATAATATATAATATATATGTTATATATGGTGTATAGAGAGCACAATGTATGGAGAACCATTAATACAAAGGAAGGGTGTTTTTTTAGTGAGGAAAAAAATATAAATGGCTGATGTTCTGCAGAACATCAATAGTCAAAGATGTCACATTCTTGGGTCTCCAAGCCTTGGCTCTTGCTAACCTGCGCCTAATACGTTCTGGAATTAGGTAAAGAGGATCCGTCCCTCCAGAGAGAGAGTGCGCATTCCATTCCAACAATCTATCTCTGGGATTTCCATGTATAGGTGGGATACATGGAATTTTCAGTTTGGCTTGGATACTCTGAAGCATAGTGATGGGTTTCCGCATGTGTCAGACACCTGCCTCCACCCTCCTGCCCCCCCCCCCCCCCCCACCCTCTGCAAATATCGATTTAAGTTGCCTGAAGACTTCCACTGAATGTTCAATGTACTGGATTACCTATTTGAATGTTTCAATTTTTTTAGGAATAAAGAACCACTACAGGATAGCATCATAGCTACCTACGAGGAGCACGAAGACAGCGTCTATGCAGTCGAATGGTCTTCAGCCGATCCATGGCTTTTTGCATCTTTAAGTTATGATGGAAGGCTAGTGATAAATCGAGTACCACGAGCTTTAAAATATAGCATCTTGTTGTGATTCTGCCGCATGCTGTTTTCCTCAGTTTGAACCATACAATTTCCATTGTGTAAAATTATGAATATAAATTAATACTAGCAGATTTTCGAAGCCATTGAGTAACGACCATCTCAGAAAACGTGTTCTGAAACTTCGGTGTATGAAATCGTTCATTTGATAAATGAATAAAAAGATTTAAAATGACATATTGCAAACAATTGGCAACATGTGTGAGTGAGTACATGACTGGATTAGGCACTTCAAGTTTGAACGCAAGCGTGGAATGAGTGGAGGGGGGAATTCATCTCACCAACTCCGTCCAATAAGTAGCCTCTAATTCATGTTTGGGTGTCAGTCTGATACTCTTGCCTCTGAGTCAGAAGGTTTTGGATTCAAGCTTCACATTGGGATTTTGAGTTTTTAGTCTAGACACTAGTAACTGTTGGGATTGCACTGCATTGTCTGCCTGTTCAGGTGGCCATGAAAGATCTAACTGCACTATTTGAAAAGAAAAGGAAATTTCTCCTAATGTATTGGCCAATAATTCAACAAATAAAAGTTTGTCCCTCACTTCATGGAGGTTGTCTGTGGCTTTGTAGAATATTGCTGTGTGAAAATTGTCTGCTGCATTTGCCTACAAAAAAATATTTTTTCTTTTTATGATTTTAACTCTGGAGTACTTTGACATGACCCATAAGGTGAAAGACATTTTATCAAATGCAAGGATTATTATTCACGTTTGACCTGTTTTTTACCACATGATGATCCATGACCTTTGTGTTGTATTTTATAGTACATTATTGTCTTGCCTTTTTTTTTGAAACAAAGGATAACTCATTTAAATTAATTAATCCTTAATTTTTGTCCGTAAAATTTTTCACCCAAAAATATACAGTCAGTTCACTTTACAATATATTCTGTGAAACGCTTTGAGGTGTCTCAAAGACTTGATAAAGTGCTATACCAAATGCAAATATTAGTTTATTATTTTTTGTCATAGACTTAACATTGATGTTTGAATGGGAAAACAATTCTAGTTCGAGTACTTTGCTTATCCTCCATATGAACAGAAGAACATGAAATGTCCTGATTAGGGAGGAAACTCCAAATAAATATTTATACCCTGTAACACTAATAATTATATAATCGGCTAACTATGGTTCTTTGGATATTCAGATGTAAAGGAATCAAATAGATAACCTGACATAACCTTGGAGTTTGGGTTTAAGGCAGACTGGCCATGTCTTCCCCACTGTCCAAGATAACCGACTCCCTGCTATGGGCTATTCTCATTCAATCCACTGATAATAATAACACTTGCATTCGATATAGCACCTTATCACGTCGTTGAGACGTCTCAAAGCGGTTCGCAGAATATATTGCATATTGTAAAGTAGATTGGCTGTGTATTTTCTGGGCGAAACGTGGCAACTAATGCACACAGCAATCGTGGATTGAGTGTCTCAATTTGTTTTTGATGTTCATGATCTTAATTTGTGCCGAGTCCAGCTGCAAGTTTTTTTTCACAAAGTTTGCCAAACAGGATTATATTGGGATTTGCAGAGCACTGATGTTTTCAATTACAATGAGTATGGCTGAGGATTATTTTCCCATTCATCAAGCTTTTCAGCCATTTTTACTACCGATTTGCCCAATATGGCTCAGATGTCACCTCCTAGTTGAGCTATTGGATGCTTGTTATTGAATAGACCCTGGTACCTTTGCAGAAGAGAAGCTCATAGGCACGTTCATAATTGAGCTTTCTTGTCAGAGTTATTGACTTGGTCTTTTCAGTACTGACGGACCATTTGTTAGCACACTGGCAAACGGTGTCAATATCTATCAGTGCTGATTCAGATTAAGGTGCTGCATAGTATTAGGCAAATCAGAAGAGAAACTTGCAGTCACTGTCCGTGCTGAGCACTTGGTTTTAATTTGTGTCTTGATTCAATGTTGGGTTTATTTGCATTATCCATTATTTGTGTAAAATGCTCTTGATAGAATCGAAGAAAACGTTCAGCACAGAAACAGGCCGTTTGACCTATCATGACCGTTGCCAGCTCTCTGAAAGAGCTATCTGTTTAGTTGCTCTCCTCAGCATTTTAACCTTATTCTATAGAATGAAATCACAGATTTATTTTCATAGAGAAGGCCATTCGGCCCATTATTCAATGTTTATACTATATTATATGAAGTAAATACAAAATACACAGTTAATTCACTTTACAGTATAAAATAATAACCCTTGCATTTGATATAGTGCTTTTCACGTCTTCCAGACGTCTCGCAGGGTTCACAAAATAGACTGTAAAGTGAATTGACTGTATATATTCATGGGTGAAATGCGGCAGCCAATTGCGCACAGCAGTGTCCCATAAACAGTCGTGGATTGAAAATGACCAATTTATTATTTTTTTTTGAGGGATTATTATCAGGTTTGTGGAATAAGGAAACTTGCCCAAGGTTTCATCCTGCCGGAAATCGAACCCAGGTGTCTCGCTTGCAAAGCGAGTGCTCTAACCACTGAGCTACAGGACTCCACAGTATATTGTGTGAAGAGCTTTGAGATGTTTTATCAACGTGAATAAGATGCTGTATCAAATGCAAGGATTATTATTGTTTGTAAGAGCCAGTTTTCTGGTACAGCATTTTGGCACATAATTGCACGGCACTGTGAAGCATTGATGATATGCAGCCTCTTATTCTCCAAGACCAAGTTCTCTGTCTGAATTACATTAATTGTACTGTGGTGGGGGAGAGGCTGTGATTATCCACACAGAGGAGACATAAACAGAAGACACACTGAGTGAAGATGTTCCCAGTACACTGTTACAGGGTCTTCCCTCCTTCCTTTTTGAAAGTTTTAGTCTAGTTTATAATTTGCATGCTCTCCATCATAAAGTATGGGCAAGCATGAGCACAAGTGAGAGGATCTGGGTTCAATTCCCGGCAGGGCAAAACGTTGGGCAAGTTTCCTTATTCTACACGCCTCTTTTTACCTAAGTAGGAATTTGGTTGTTAGTCAATTGATGGATCACTTTTCCGGGGGTAATAATTCCTTCCAAAAAAAAATTAATTATTAATTTGGTCACTCAATCCACAATTGTTTGTGGAACACTGCTGTGCAGAATTGGTTTCCGCATTTCGCCCACAAAATGTACAGTAATTCACTTTACACTATATTCTGTGAAGGGCTTTGAGACGTCTCGAAGACACGATAAGGTGCTATATTAAATGCAAGGATTATTATTATAAGTACTTGATAGGACCGTCAGTGCAAAAATAATCTGACTATCCACAGACATACCAGACTCAGCAAATCAGATTGTGGTGCCTTCACTATGTCACTGAACGGTGTCTTTTAATGCTTGTTAAACTATCAACCGTCCGCTCTTATCATTTAGTATTTCATAATTTATCCCGTTTCACTTCCTGCATCACTTGGCATCCAATCCTTTCTCCTACCCATTTAAATGCCATAGTTTATTTTCCCCATCTCTTTCTCCAGCATCCCCACCAAAAGGTTCATCCTGAGAAAAGCACCTTATCCTCAGATTATTGATCCTAATCTTGGCCAAGCATATATCCTTGTAACACCTGTTCTGCCTGATCAATATCTGCAGTAGTATGTAATAAGCTCAAGGAAGAAAGCAACGTGAGTTTCTTTGAAGGGCCATGCCTGAGACGTGATGTTAACCTATCTCCTTTTTCCAGATGATGGTTGACCTACTATAGATTTTCAGCATTTTCTGCTTTGGTTTCATGAGACTTTCCTCCACAATTCAAATCATATTGTTTGTGAAGGAAAGATAAAGATAATAATCCCTACAAAATAATAATAATAATGTGGTGACTCAATCCACGACTGTGTGTGGGACACTGCTGTGCGCAATTGGCTGCCACGTTTCACCCACAAAATGTATATCCTGTGAAGCGCTTCGAGATGTCTCAAAGACATGATAAGGCACGATATCAAATGCAGGGATTATTATTATTAAAAGACCATCAGTAGTTGCCACCCTGCAGAGCCTCATTTTCTATTGGTTTTACCAAACGTTTGTCTGAATTGATTTTAATCTAGATGATCAATAGCTCCTATCCAGAACAGATGTGACTTCCTCTGTCTGGCAGTTTGTGGGTATAACAATGTCCAGTTTCTAACTGCATGGAAGGGCCAGCATTTCAGTTGTAAAAATAAAAGAAATAAAAATGACACGGAGTACAAGAGAAGACGAATCCTATTGTCTTCTGCAACAATCCGATTGGGCCAGAAAAATTGCAGATCATTCAAAATTGGGTTTTAGTCTTCTGGAATCTGGTCGTAGACATAGAAAACACATTTTATATGTTTCCATGATTTCAAAATGAAAAATCCTTTTTTTTAGTGATGTTTAACCAAGCTTGGAAACTGTGACAAAAAAACAGATTATCCATAACCTAAAGTCATCCTTTTGCTCTTAGTTTAATTTCCTTGCCTCAGTTCTCTTCAGTGAGGAAGAAAAGGTTCCACATTTGCTCCACAAGCAGGAAGATCGATTCATCATATAAAGCACCCCATCAATTTGGATAGGTAGTGCTTGATTTGGTCTGGTAAAACCCAGTCCTTTATCAGCCCGTATCCTTAGGAATCTCCCCAGGTATAGGTTTTGGGTCTTGTACTTGAAGCAAAGTAATTTTTAACAGTAGTGGTATGGATTTTATAATACAATACCTGTCAAAAAAAGACCAAAAAGAAAGCTATAATCTGTACATTGGCTGTAGTTTTTTGAACAATGTGATACCACTTTCTCCTGGATTCACTATTCATCACACTACAACTCCCTGCTGCTCCATTGTGTGTTTAGATTTTACACCAGAATAATCACTGCTAAAAGATCTAAATTGATACGGTATTTAGTTTAAAACCGGGGGAGAAAAACAACATACAAAGCATAACCATTATCAGTAAAATATGCATGGTAGTACACAAAAAGCCATATTTACTGCAGGTTGTTCAAACCTTATACCTATATTTTCCATATTACAGTTACAGTATTTCTATTGCACCTACGCTACAAGTCTATCACAACACAAACATGGGATACTGGTGAGAACAGCAACCCACAACATACAATGAAAATAATTTAATTTTAATGTAACTTATTACTTTAAAATATAAAAACAATAACAAAATTACATTTATAGAGCACCCTTCACATCGGGAGGACGTCCCAAAGAGCTAAACAGTCAGTCAGGTGTCGGGGCCCGAGCATGGGGGAGGGATAGTGTAGGGGTGAGGGAAGGCAGAGAGGTGGGAGGGAGACCAAAGGCACGGTAGAAGAGAAGGGTCTTGAGCCCGGCCTTGAAGGAGGCGAGGGAGGAAGCGAGGCGAAGGGACCGTGGGATGGTGTTCCAGAGTGTGGGGGCAGAGAGGCTGAAAGCCCGGCCACCGATGGTAGTGCGGGTTGGGCGGGAGACATGGAGCAGGCGGGAGCCTGATGAGCGGAGGGAGCGGACAGGTTGGTAGGGAGTCAGCAGGTCAGAGAGGTAGGAGGGGGCAAGGCCATAGATGTCCTTAAAGGTGAGAACAA